CAAGGACAGATGTGGCGGGAGATTATCGCGGAACAGGTCGCACAGCCGTAGCAAGCCCGTCTGAACGACAAGGAATCTAATGGAGGACAAATAAGCAATAAGGTCTGAACAATTAAACAAGAACACCAAAGCTCGGACGGATTGAATGTTCCAGTCCTGAACTCCCTCCCGAGCAATGCGACATCGGTAGGAGAAATAGACGGATGCGATATGATCTGGGAAGAGGCGGGGACGAGGGTTGGCCGAGGAATGGCAGGGTTTGTGCAAAAGACAGTGGAGAGGAGCGTCGCCAGAATAGGGGCAGTGAGTACAAGACCGATGCAGCGAGTAAGTAGCGCTTGAGCAGCGCCAGAGGAAAAAGAAATGTCGTGAGAGGAAATCTCGTGAGAGGAATCTTGAGGAAGCAGCCCGCAGGCCAGGACGGTTTGGTGGCCAGCAGATTGTCGTGGTCGGTGTAAGAGGAGGTCCGATCATCTGTCCGTCATTCCGCCGTCACAAGACATTGCACTGCCTTCGCGGGCTACTGCAGTGCACCCATTCCAGATCACAGATAACAGGCACTGCTGGCTTGTGAATCTGCCTCCTTGTGAGTGCACACCCGTCCCAATCTTACTGAACGCGTTCTGAAGCGGTGCGGTCTGCAGCCACAGTTGCCGTTGCCCATGTGCGCGTCGACCAACAGGTCATGGCAACGATGTACGGAAAATACATCGAGCGGGATTCGCGAATAATCCTTGGTGCTCTGTCCAGGTCTCTCGAGCTTGGGCTCCTTATCACAATCACCATCATAGACTCGAAAGTTGTCTTTGTTTCGACGGCGAACAACGGCCACAGAAACATAGTATTCACGGCTGGTGCATTCCCACCCCGTCAATGAGCAAAGTTATTCTCCATACTGTAATTTATAGGATATGCTGCTGGTAGTGTCACACCTATACCACGAGGACATGTCTTTTGTACCTAATATGCTACTGTGTAGTATCACAAGTTCCCGTTTCCCTATAGACTTCATCACCTGTTTTCTTTTCGATTTCCTGGTTATACCCCCAACGAACAGGATACAAAGCTCTCCATCCAATCTTGCTTCATGAGCGAAATGTAGTAGTTGGGTCCTTTATCGCATGCCCAGTGTGTCGGAGGTCATACCGACGGAGCACATATTGTCATCGATCCATTGCAGACAGGAGTCCACCCGCCGGTGGCCGCACACTAGCGGGGATTGGGAAGGACGAGCACTCAATTATGATATCAGCTGTTCAGAAGAGACTAAGGACGCCCCGGAGCAGTGGGCACGGGCCATCGACCAGGCCATTGTTATGTGGCAATCTACAGCGAGCCAGTCCGAGCGCAGGGAAAGGTTCGTGGCATTCAGCACGAGCCTCAAAGTGTATCCATTATCCGAGGGGAGGAGGTGGTGGTTCTACGGACGGAGGAGTATCTGGCAGCACTCGGGTTCAGCTCGCAACCATCCCGCCCAACCCCATTTGTTGCATGCAAGCACACTCCGGCCACTGCCCCTAGTTATTTATTCCCTCTCCAGGCTCGCATCACCGCATTGCGCCGTCCTTTGGTGTTTCCGGGCGAGCGCGCCCCCGGGCGCCGGGGGCTAGGGATGAAACAACCAGCTCGGTCCTGAAGCATAGACGGCCCGCGAGGGCTGTGGCATGGCACCTTGCCCCGCCAGAAATTAAACACTCCAGGCGCCGGTACGACCAAAGGCAAACAGACAAATCCAATTTTTGAGAGGTATTTGTGCGCGGGGATGCTGAAGAAAAACCTGAATGGCCAGCGAATACAATTAGTCCGTGAGCGAGCAACAAACAAAAGCCACGACGAACCTCCCGAGGGAAAGCCTCACGCATGTTTCCTTCAAAAGACAGTTCTCACGCGCGCACTCGCCACTTCAACTATAATCAGTAGTTTTGTGCGAACCGTGAAATAATCCCTACCTACCCCGATGACCAAACCTGCTAACACAGCTAATTATATTGCGCCCAGGATCGTATATGCGCCTATGGATCTAAGTGCGTGGGAGGTAAGCATAACCCGAGATAGCCAATGAATACATTCGTGACGTTCGCGGTTATCAAGCAGGCGCCGGAAGATTTTGCGCTTACCTAGCCATGGCGGCTCCACGTTTGGGGCCAGCGGGGGCAGCGCATGGTCGTCACAGCATATGGCGGGTTCGGGCTCCCGGGGGTCGTCGGGTGCGCCCATGAGAATATACGGAGGTTGAGACGTATGCCTTCATCCCTCAGCGGATTCCCCAACTTGCCCTCAGCTTCAGTGTTACTAACTCCGTGCCGCAGGATGCAAACGCCCACCGTGAGAGTTACCGTTGACGGTGTGCCATGGCATCGCTGAGCGGCGTCCATACAGGTGACGCAGGATCCCAGCACTGTCCTGCGGCGCACCGAGGAATCATTGGAAGCGCCCGGCGTTGTCGCGATATTCAGCGACGGTCGTCGGGAACGTCGAAAGGCACATACATTTGGGTGTCTTTGCGCGTCCTCTTGCTCATAAAGCTTTCGACCAGCACCTAGATAACAGCAACAATGTGTTCAGATGCAACATTCGCCGACGCTGCGCTCATACTCGGGAGTCCTTCCACTCAAACAGACTTACCTTTTACCGCACGCCACATCGCCGACATCCTCGAAGGGCGGCAAGCCCCGCCCAATTTACGACGGAAATCGTCAGCCGTCACGGGTGGTGGATTTACAGTATTAGGCACGTACATTGTGGTATCTCTGCGTGTCGGCTCGCTGATGGATCATCTCCTCCAGCCTACCCCCAAATAAAGAAGCGCACCTTGTAAGTATACCCGACCTTGTATTCTGTCCCGTGACACCGCTGACTGTTCGTCGCGATATGAATTGTCAGTTTCTGCGTTTGATCATGCAGGTTTCGGAACACGCACTGGAAGGGCATGCGCACACTATAAGCAGACTCACGGTGCGAGGCATGGTATCGCTGGTGATTTGCCGTAGTGAAACACATCATTTTAGCAGTCTCGGCTACTCGACGCGCATCTACGTACCTCGGTGGCTACCGCAGTGTCCAAATAGCTTCCCTGCAGGAATCCATCAGTTATGGCATACCTGCAGTCTTTATTGACGTACCTGGTAGCTGGGCCATCCAGAATCGTTTGAATTGACACGAACCAAGCACCAGTGTGTTTAGCTATCAAGGAGATTCGCGCCGACTTTCCCCAGGCAAGCGTTGCTATCGGTACACATTTAACTCTGACTGCCGACAGTAGTAAGAGAATATCCAAATACACCGATGTGCAAACAGGGCGTTAGTTCTGCCGCGAGGATAGAGTCGGTGCTGATTCAATTCGGTAAGGGTGGATTTTCCGTCTGCGCGAGAGACCAGGATCGTCGATTGCTCCTGGCAGTAGCTCGGTATGCACAAAGGAGAAGGCCCATTTCGCCAGTTTAGCGGGGGCTGGACTCTCCGTGGGCGGATACGACGCCAACAACGTTCCAGGAGAGGTATGGCAGCCAAAGGCAGTCGTCTACGGCGACTAGCTGTGGTGGGAGAAAGCAAAAGGGAAGATCAAGAATTGATCCGGAGATCACACAGCCACCCGCCTTTTCCTTCCTCCCACAACGCGCGACGACAACCTGTGTCCAGTCTCCACTGGCCGTGACCCTAGCTGATATCACGCTGAAATGCATCGCTTTGCTCTGCGAGACTTTGCTCCTTTGCTTTCGCCAGATCTTCTTTACTGCCGGGCCCGATGTAACTTACTGTCTAGGGCTGCCGCCCGTTACCGTGCCCACGGTTCTACGGCACCCGTGCCACGGCTGCCGTGCCCGTCCCGTCGAGCATTTATTCTGTTGCTCGACGGCACGGTTACGGCACGGGTCTGACCTTTCACGGGCCGTGAAAAACGGCCGTCACGGCCGTCGCACGGGTTCGTTTCGTTTTGCCCTTGAGCGCATGAATCTACCCAAGGCGAGTGGATATTATGCTTCTGGACCGAGTTGGTTATGCACTAGACCAGTTTTTTCCAGTTCGACCCGCAGTTCAGTCTAGTTCAGCAATAATCCTGCCTATTTCGGCAGTTGCCGGTATTGATAGCCGACTCTGATGAAAGTTCGATTAGGTTCATCCCGAGTTCTTTAGACTCAGCGATTGCTCAGAGCCCTCACCAACGAAGATGGAACCCCAAAAAATGTATTTCGACCCCCATCGCAGACTGCTTATAGCATCCAATCCATTTCGGCGCGTGTTAACCTTTTTCTCCGGGCTCCCACACTTTCAACTTCAAGTTGCCATGCTCCGGATCAAAGCACAGACCAAATCGACGCCATGAAGGACGCAAAGAAAATAATCGCCTACCCGTGTACCCGTTACAGCCGTCCCGTAGACCGTGCCGTCCCGTGTAGCTCTTTTACAGCAGCTCGACGGGCCGTGCAACCCACGGCCCGTGCCGTGGCCAGCTCGTCGATTCCACGGCCGTGCCCGTGACGGGCACGGGCGGCAGCCCTATTACTGTCAAGCCTCTCGCTGAGGCTCGCTCATCTTCGACGACCGAAATCACACATTCTCCAATGTACAATCGCTCCATGGTAGAACCTCGGACGCGGTGTGCAATTCAACGCGAATCCACCTAGCTCGAGGACACAAGATATAAATGGCAAGCCGGGTTCAACTCCCCGCCTCCGAATACTGTAGTGCATGACTATCTGTTCTTACGCTATCGCGAGCTTTCCATGTTGTCCGTCTCCATGAATGATGCTTATTGGCTGCAGATCTCTCCCCGATTCAATTTTGGCAATTGTCTCCCGTTTTGTCCGCATAATCTACCTGCTAAAATCCCTGACGCATGATTCCTTCGCGGTGATTTCAAACTCTGCTCGCCATCCCCGCATACTGCGCCCTCGCGCCGATTCAGGGTCCAGACAGCGGTCATTCGTGCTCGGCAGGGCGATGCCCTTTGAGTTCATTTTTCGTCCAGCTCGTCACAGCATGTCCTAAGCGTGTCAATATCGGACGTGGTGTACGGGCACGGCGGGTCCTCATGAGATAAAAAAATTCAACCCGCAGGTTGGGGTTCGATTCCCCTCGTCCGAATTGTGATCTACCGACGTTACTTTCTTTTTGTAGTTTCAATTTAACTGACGGTTTAAGCCATAGGTAGTTTATTTTCCGAAACAAGAGGAGTTCCCAGCACCAAATCAAGTCAGCATTGTCGCAAGAAACACTTTCGCAAAAGAATTCTGCGTTAAAAGCCCGCCATCCGGACGCGGGGAGTCGAACCCCAGGCGACGAGTACACATTATCCTGGTTCTATCTCCCATTTAGTGAGCCCCGCGGTGTACCGTACACTACGTCCGGTGTTATTATCTATGAATGCCCGGTTGATATTGCTCATAAAATGGTGCGCGAGTCCTATCTTGGGAGGCAATGTTCTGGTAATGCGAGAGAGAGGAGAAAACGTAATACCTAGTCCTCGCGGAAGGAGAGTTCAAATGAAGCAGGCACACCCCACTAGAGTAGCAAAAAAAATGGAGTGTGTATAGAATGTACGACCTGGGCCCGGGTCGCACGGGAGAGGTTCGCAGGTATCATTTGAATGCGAATCCGTTGCGGATGCGGACCCTGCGCTACCAGTTGTTAGGCCACCCTCGTCAATCCGGAGATTTGAACTACCGGCGCACGATAAGAGGCAGAGAGGCGAAGGGAAACTGACTCTGTGTCTTCCACCTCTGATTTCTCTTGGCACCCTGCTTCCGATTTTACCCGGACATCGTCTTTTGAGACAGGTTTCTCACACAATACGCAATTTACGGAGATAAATATACATTTTTTCAGCCTCCCCGGTGTTGAGTTCGTCCGTGCTCGCTGCCCTGGAGATTCCATCATCGGTCTCTTACTCATCCTCAGCCTCGTGCTCTCCCCTTCCCTTTTCCTTTGCTTCTCTCTCCTCCCTGTGCAAAATGGTCAAGCGCGGACTCCGCCCGCTCTCTGTGTGCGAGCACCATCTGCATCTTTTGGTAACCACGAATGTCGTGCAGCAGGGAGATGTCAGTACTCAGTTTTTCATCCAACATCTCAAACCCTGTAGCGCCATCGGACTCCGATGACCTTTCGCACTTCACTTTTGTCGCCTGGCAGGAGGCACAAGACGTCCCGCGACCACCTTTCTTGGCTGGCGTGCATTCGATGCTCTTCTTTAAGCAGTTGTCGCACTGTGCAGCAATTAGCTCTGAAGGCAAACAGCGATACCTTGGACTGTGACGCACCGGAGTGATCTTCGACTTCTTATAGGGCTGCGCTTCTTCATCTGAATCGTTCTCGAGCTCCCTCTTCTTCCTGTCCTCGTCTTTCTGCGGGGAGCCAGTCAGGGTCTTGGCCCTCCTCTTCTCCTGCTCCTTCGCTTTCCTATCCAACTCTTCCTTTGCCTTGCGATCGGCCTCCGCCTTCGCTTTCCGATCGGCCTCCACCTGGTCCCGAATCTCCTTTTTCTTTCGGATGCGCAGAATTTGGTCGTCCGTGTCCAGCTGATCTTCCGCCTCAGCGGCATCCAACGCCACAATGCGAGCGAGGAACTGCTCATAGGTCTCGGTGTTGTTTCTGGCCATTGTGGAGTACCAGGTCCAGCGAGCGCAGGTGGTGGGCTGTGACGAGAGTGAAGTTTTCACTTTCCCAGCACGTGAGCTCGCGAATCGCATCGGGTGCCGAGGGAGCGCCGGTGAGTGCCAGGCTCAGGCGCGCAGGCGCCTCCTCCATGTTCTGACAATACTCGGGCTCAGAAAAACGCCTTGGGTATTTTTCTCCACTCTGGCATCTTTCAACTTCGTGACTCGTCTGACTCGTCTGAGTTCTCTCCCTCCGCTCCACTTTTTTTTTGTCGTCGGAGACGCATGCAGAGACACTAGCTAGCTGCGGGCGGAAAGCCAGAACCAAGGCCCGGCACACAGCGGGACACTCTTGGTGGGTCTGGGAGCGAAGTATTCGGTCATGGCAACAGGACGTGTGCGGATGTTGAGGGACGCTGAAGTTGAAGCAAGAAATAGCAGTATTTGACGTCGATCCATTTTATGCGGTTTCTGGACGATCCGGGGAGGGGGCACGGGGAAGGAGGCGGAGAGAGGTGAACGAGGAGTCTGAGGTCCTTCGATAGCCGGCAGGTTTATCGTCGCGCATTATTCAGGGAAGCAAGTGTAGATTGAGCCGTGTTCTTTGCCAAAGGACCGCGTCCATGGCGGTGCGGAGGAGACAGTGAAGAGATTCGAATGGAGTCAGACAGAGAACGTTTGATACCCCACGAATCGGAGAACTGATTCTGCTCGATGGATCGCGTGTAAAGAAGTCAATTGGGACAGCGGAAGGAACGGCCAATTGGAATCCACATGCAGCCAGTGAAGCAGCGGGACACTCCGCTCGTTCGTGCACCAACGCTGATAGATATGACTGCTCGACACCAGATGGCGCATCACGTACGAGTATTAGGATTGTCGTTATCTCGCGTTCAGACGGCCATGGCACTAGGGAAGGCTGCAAAAGGATGAGTCAAACGACGCAGACCTGTAGGTCAAGTTAATGAATCACCAGAATAAACAGGAGGGGCGGGAGAGAAGTAGTATCGGTGGGTCCACTGGCGGTAAAGAAAAATGGCGGCCTCAATCAGCGGACCATTCAAGCACAATTTGCGATGGGTTAAAGGTTGTGGAACGGGACCAGAGAGGGCATAGTGCATGTGTAGAGCTCCCCCCGTTGGAGCGGGCGAATAACCAGAGAGTCCAGTCGTCGTGGCAAGAGGCAACGTGATGTATCTTTGATGCCATCGGCGGACCAAACCGGACCGCCGCGTCTTCCTCTCCTCATCCATGTCGTCCGTCTGCCTTTCCTGCCCCGCCCTTTGCAAGCTCGTCGCTCTGTCTCCGGCTGTTCGACAGCATACAAGCTACCGGCTCCTCCGTCTCTCTGTGCACTGTCTGGAGTCCTCAGCCCCGCACCAAACTCGCACGTGCTGCCAGCGCATAAGTACCAATGGCAACCAAATGCGAGCACCTGAACGTCGAATGGCAAACCACAGCAAAGGATTGTTTTCAACCCCTCTCCCGCTGCTTCTACCGACACTTTCTCAAGGAACATTCCTGGGTCCTATTCTCGTCGAACGGTCTTTCTGTTTTTGCTACGGTCAGACCGACCGGCGAAGGCTCCTGCTCGCCGCAATCATCCACGATAGCGCTCTTTATCGTACTCTCAAGCTCGACATGGTTCCTTCTTCGTCCAGGCTGATTAGCGCATATTCTTCGAAGGTTAGATCCCCGTCGTCTCGAGGGTGGGGGATCATATCATGCACCGAGGAGGCCATGCTCTGTTCTTCCCTCGCATTTCGACGCAGGGCTTCTCTTGACGTACCGGCCTCCGCCAGCTGACACGATATCTTTTTGCGGTACACTACGGGGCTGAAAAACCGAGAGCGTCGCCGTCCGTGGACATCGTCCGGCCCCGATTCTTCTGTTCCTCCCTGCGTTTGTGCGTCCTGACTCATTTTTCAAACCTGGCTTGAGAGTCGGTGGGGTGCGGGTGCTTCCTAAGGCTGTCTTCAATCCACAACGCGCACGCAGCATTGTAAACTCCGGTAGATGGTACGGATTGTCACGCCCGTCCACCGCCTCGCGACCACTACACATACCCATCTCTCGATAGCGGATGGCCGCGCCTGTCTCCCATGCGTTTGGAAACAGAATACAGCAGGAAACCCCTTCGGGGTAGGGCCGTAAAGACGCGATGATGTTTTTTCCTCCCTTGAACTCGCATGTTGACTCATTTTGCGTCCGTGCGACGGTCAGGAAAAGCGTGAATACGGCGCTCATGCCAGGTCCCTGAAATTGTTTGTAACTCAAGTTGGAGGCTGAAAAAAGTTTTGTGGACCCAACGCGGTTGAGGGATAGCGTGGGCAAAGCTCGCCGCGTCGTATGGCTCGCCTTGAACGTGCAAGAGCAGACGAGGCGCTCACCCGGGATCCCAGAAGCAGAAAACGATTGTAACTTTCGGATGAACAGGTAAAGAAAGTCTTGGACACGATGGACCTCTGCTCTTTCGTTCATGAACGTCCGTCAAACGTTGCTCTCAGCCATAAATCGAATCCATTATCCCTGAACCAGATACTTGCCGAGGTAAGACAGTTCAAGGCCTGGCAGCAGATGCCGGTCCGCATTCGCATCCGATTGGCACTTACGATGAATTCTGCGAAGCGCACCCGTTCGACTCGGCGCCAGGTCATGTGGTGAACAGTGCCATTTTTCTCGTCTCTGGGCTCGCGGGTACTTGAACCCTCCTTCCGTGAGGTCTTGGTAGTGCGTTCCGCTTTGCGGCGTTGATAAATTACTCTGTGTTCCCAGGGTTGCGACTTGCGCACTCTGTTCCAATCGGGATACATACGTCGCAATACCGGATGTAGTTTATGGCACGCGCCAGTATGGGGTTCGACTCCCCGCGTCCGGATGGTTAGATTTTGATGCAGGATTTATTTTGCCAAATGTGTCGAATTTGTCGCGCGACAATGTTGATGGCCAATTCCTTCTTGAAGAAAAGCTTGGAACTACCAAAAATGAAACTATATCGGAAAGAACAATTTGAACGCGGGGAGTCGAACCCCGACCTGCGCCTCGGACAGTTATCGCCTCTTATGAGGACCCGCCGTGCCCATGCACCACGTCCGATATGAACACTCCAACTTCATGCTGTGAAGTCAGAAGCGCCTAAAATGGGTGGCTCAAGGAATGGAAGGCGGGAGTCTGTCCGACTGTCTTTCATTGTGCGCAACGAATAGGCAGAGCGAGGCGCAAGATAAATTGGAGCCAAAGGGACGACAAAAGGCAGCTATTAGACATGAAGAAATGCATGCTGTTTTCACAGACGTGATCTCGGTCTTCCAAGATAACAGGCGAGGGTTGGCGAGGGAGGCGGTAGACCAGAGTAACCAAGTTTCAAGACGCAGCCGTGATGGAGGGGATGGCGGCAGCGACTAATAAACAAGAACCATGGCATGTAAAGGAATCTTGAGCCAATATTCCAGTCAATGCAGGATAGCGAGTCGTTTTGCTGCTACGATCGGT